TAGTGAACTAACTAACATTCATCATATTAAAACCATGTATGTTTTAAGACTAAACTTAATTTTAATGATAAGAAACTTGAAATTTGATGAAAAATTTTAAACTTCGTCAATCTGTATAATACGCTGACAACTCATCTAGTTAAACTGACAGTTCTCATTGCAAATATGGTATCACTTTGATAGGTGAATGTTAAAATATGAAGAATAATTCGAATGTTTCTTCTTAGTTTATAATTAATACACAATATGATGAGCACCTCTCCCAGCGTTAGAAATAAAACCACCAAGTTGTGTGATTACTTTATTAAAGTTGGATATTTCAAATTTATCAATAGTAACTTTTTTAATTGTCTAATTTTGATTAGAAATGTTAGAATCTTTGTACGAAATAAGAAATCTATAGGATAATAGAAGTGTAGAATGATTAAAGAGTCATTCTGTAACATTATGGTTGTTTTATGTTGTTGTACTGTCAGTTAATGGACTAAAGGGTCCTGATCTGATCATTAACAGTTATAAACGATGTAATATAATTACAAATAGATGTGGATAACTTGATTTATATATTTTGGGTACTTTTTGTACAATCAGATAGAAGTATTTATCGAAAAGCCATGAATCTGAAATCTGTATCAACTAGAACTCGTTATTGTGTACTATCTTTGAACATAAATATTTATCCAACGATTAAAGTTATCATCATTCTTGTGGTCTTGCAACAAGGAATAACGTATCAAACATGATAAGCTTTATCAGCCAATCTGTTTCCTTATTTAAAATATTTCGTCATATAGCGAATACACCTTTATCACTGAATATCACTATGCACTTATTTGCTCAGATGGTCATGAGGAGATTTCATACAGCTTGAGAATAGATATTTAGCATGCTCCACTGGTCCCACAGATGGTGTCGGTTCCTGATGTGAATGGTTTATATATCAGACCAATTCTTTGTAAACTGCTCAACTTAACAAAATCATACATTAATTAGTGATAGATTGATGACTCACTTAAGGGCAGCTTTTTCATAGTTAAAATAATGACCCGTGGAAACAACCAAGTTGAGGGTATGAGATGTGTTTACTAACAAAATTAGATATAGGCTACACTATAACACAAATCGATGTAAATTTTAAATTTTAAATGGTGAATTTCGACTCAGCGGTTCTGTGGTATCGGAGTCACCATGATGCATGAAAATTTTGAACTCGATCAAATGTTTTGAGCAAACACCACTGAGGACCATCAAACAGAAATGAAATATCTATTTTCTACTTCACGTTTTTTACTAATTCCTCATCTAATATATAACTGTAATGATAAATCTTATTAATCATTAAATGATAGAAATTGTTTTGAGGTCACATACTACCAATCAATAGTTATTAAATGTTCACCTTATGATATACATACTTTCATTATAAACTTCGGTGTTTTTAGATAAACTTAATTTTCTGTCAATGAAAGTTTTAACGCCAAGTATATAACAGTTTGAAAATATTCACTTGTATTATGACCAATTAACTGTTTAGTATTCAATATACATTACCGAATTGAAGAATTTTTGTAAATAAAGTGTTAATCATATTTTAATCAATAAATATCAAAATTAATTAGATACATGTTCTCTTCTAAGATTCTTTAGTAACTCTACTTTTAACAGTTCTAGGGCTACTGTTGGTCCCAAGCCCAGGTATAGGAGGAGGGTTGGGTATGGGATCGGAAACCCCATCCCGTAGAAAACAACTTTCCTAAAACACGGTAACCAGAAAAAACAATTTAAACCATTTAACCTCTGCCCTTTGAGTTGAAGAAAAAATCATGACGCCTCATGATGAAAGCCGAGATTCCTCGAAGCTCATAAGAACGATGCCCATTCTAACAACTAGAGCAAAAATTTATATAAATAATATGGAACGTCTGGACAGTGTGGGAGACCTGAAGGACTAGTCTCATTTCAACGAAAATGAGGAGATACAACTTGGTAGTACTGGGAATAAGCGAAACCCGTTGGACCTAATTCGGACAGCAAATGCTAGATACAGAAGAGATGCTACCGTACTCCTGTCACAAATAGGAATATGCTCTACACACTCAGGGAGTTACTCTGATGCCATCCAAACTAGGCGCGTAATGCACTCATAGAATGAGAATCTCACGGATACAGGACATTAAACTATACTTCAAATCAAAGAAGAAGGGAATCAAAATGAGTGTCATTTAATGTTATGCACCCATCAGTGATAACAATGACAACGATAAAGAAAAGTACTTCGAGAGGTTGCATCAATCATGGCGAAGTGATCAGGAAACGACTTGACAATCCTGATGAGAGATCTAAACGTCAAAGTAGGGATGGACAACAACGGTTATGAAGATATCATGAAATGACATGGACTGGGAGAAAAGAATAAAAATGTCAAAATATTTGCAAACCAATGCGCATTTAACATATTGATTATAGGTGGCACAATATTCCAACATAAACACATACACAAACTACATGCATCTCACCAGACCAGACCACGAAGAAATAGGTAGATCACATTGGTATCAATTAAAAATTCAGAAGAACAATGGAAGACGTGAGAACGAGGAGAAGAGCTGACATAGCCTCGATCGGCACCAATCGCCACCGATTGGTTGTCAAAATGAAAGTAAAGCTAAAGATACGTCGGGAGACTGGGGGAACAGCATTACAAAGGTTCAATACAGCCTTCCTTCGAGATACAAACAAACTCAAAGAATTCAAGATAGCTCACGACAACAGGTTTGAAGCCGTACAGGATCTACCGGAAAGAGAAGAAACTGCCATGGAGAACAAATGGAAAGGTATCAATAAGCATTAACTTCAACGTTTCAGGTGGTTCTGGGTCGCAAGAAGTATCATCATAAGGAATGGATCTCTGTGGACAAGATTTTGAACAAGCTTCGAAAAAGAAAGGACAAGAAGACAGCAATTAGGAATAGCCAAACAAGAGCAGAGAAAGTCAAGGTGCAAAGGTGAACACACAGAAGCAAACAGGCAAGTGAAGAAGACCATTAAAGCCGACAAGCAGAAATACATGAAAGAGCAAGCAACGACAACGGAAAAAGCTGCAACAGAGGGAAATATGAGACAGCTATATGACTCAATGAGAAAACTAGCAGGGAAATATAGTAAACCAAAGAGACCATTCAAGCACAAAGAAGGCAAGATAATCACTGAAATTCAAGAACAGGGGAACAGGTGGTAGGATAATTCGAGGAACTCTTGAATAGACCAGACATCGAGGCAGGACAAACAAATCTCTTGACAGATGTCACTCCACCAACGCTTAAAGAAATCAGGGTGGCCATCAGACAAATCAAGAGCGGTAAGGCAGCAGGACCTAACAATATAAAAGCTGAAGAACCAGAGTCAGACGTAGAAGCAACTGCAAAGATGCTCCACGTTCTGTTCAGGAAGATTTAGGATGAAGAACAAAAACCGATGAACTGGAAAGAAGAATAACTCATCAATATACCAAAGAAAGGAGATCTGAGCAAATGTGAGAATTAAAGAGACATCTCACACTACTGTCAGTACCAGGAAGAGTTTTCAACTTAACCGGATGAAGATATATTAGGCGCCCGACTTTGAGACCAAAAGGCTGGATTCCGTAAGGGTCGGTTATGCACAGGCGAAATCGCGACGCTACAGTTCGTTGTTAAACAATTAATTGAATGAAGCTCGTCACTAAACATCAAATTCCTAGATTATGAGAAAGTATTTTACAGTTTGGATAGGAACCTTATGGAAACTTATTTGACACTGTGGAGTACCTGAGAAAATCGTCAACATCACCCGGAATTCATACGACGGACTACACGGCAAAGTCATGCATGGAGGACAGCTGACAGTAAGGACCGGAGTCAGTCAAGGTTGCCTACTCTTCTCCTTTCTTTTTCTTCTGGTGGTCGACTGGGTTATGAAGACATTGGCATCTGCTACGAAGCACGTAATAAACTGGACAGGTTGGATGCAACTAGACAATTTAGACTTCGCAGATGACCTGACCCTTCTATCCCATACATATCAATAAATGCAGGTCAAGACAAATAGTGTAGCAGCAGCCTCTGCAACAGTAGGCCTCAACATACGCAAGGTAAAATGCAAGATTCTCAAATATAACACAGAGAACATCAACACAATCACACTTAATGAAGAAACTCAGGAAGAGATGTGAATGTTCACGTATTTGGACACCATCATCGATGAACATCGAGGATGTGATGCAGACGTGAAGGCTAGGATTGGCAAAGCAAAGGTCATATTCCTACAGGTGAAGAATATACGGAACTTGAAACAACTGCCAACCAATATCAAAGTGAGAATCTTTAATACGAACGTCAAGACAGTTTACCTGTACGGAGCCTAATTTTGGAGAACAACCATCGAGTATTTATAAACAATTGTCAACGTAAGACACTGAATGTCCGTTGACTGGATACCATCAGCAACAGCCTACTGTGGGAGAGAACAAATTACCTTTCAGCTGAGGAAGAAATTAGGAAAAGACGTTGGAAGTGGATAGGACACGCATTGAAGAAATCATCAAACTGGTTTACGAGGCAAGCGCTAACTTGAAATGCTGAAGGGAAATGAAAAAGTGGAAGACCAAAGAACACATTGCGTCGGGAATTGGAAGCAGACATGAAAAGGATAAATAGCAACTGAAAAGGACTGACCAGGACAGATTTGGATAGAGAATACTAGTGAGCAGCCTATGCCCCTCCATGGGAGGTATCAGGCGTAACTAAGTAAGTTTTTTAGTGATAATACAAGTGAACTCCAGAAAGAAACTCACAAAATTCTCTGACCTATTTCCAAGAGAACAATCTTTTTATTTCTTTCATTTACATTAGAATGGTTTAATTTAATATGTCCAGATTTTGTGTCTGTTTCAAGTGTGTTTATTTTTTTAAGCTTCATTATATATTTTTTATTTTGTCGATTTATTTCATTTTACTCATTTAGTAATGAAGACACTCAGTTACTGAACTACAATAATCTGTTCAATAATCATTATGCGAATATATATTGTCAGTTATTTATTCAGTTATGTAAACTGTCGTTCACGTTCAAGAAAATCCAAATTTCTCTGTACCATTATGCTTATTATAACTTGGCTATCAGTTATTTGGTTATTGATTACATATATGCTAGAGGATTATCAATTATTTCATTATCCGCCAAATATTAATTTGTATCAAATTTATGAAAAAGAAAAATTACAAATTAATTCAAGTTTACCACCTTTATGGAAAATCATTTTTCCTCTATCTTCTAATTATACAGAACAATGTCTAATTAAACATTATAAATGCAATAATAATAGTAATAATAATAATGATAACAATAATGATTCCTTATTATTTCAGTCGTCAAAATGTCAAACTATTGATATACTATTAGTTATTCGATCACATGTAAATAATTTTAATCAACGAGATGCTATTCGTCAAACATGGGGAAATCAACAATGCTATGAAAATTTTGGTGCGTTTATTCGTATTCTATTTATTTTAGGCAAACAAGACGACAATAATGATAATGTATTAAATTATTCTATACAAAATAAAAATAATCATTATAACAATAGTATGGGTAACACTGGGGTATTACAAAAGTTACACTATGAGCATTTTATGCATCATGATATTATACAATTTGACTTTATTGATAATGATTCTAATTTATTGAATAAATGGATTGGTAGTATTGATTTTATTGTAAAATACTGTATGATTACTGAGAAATCATTTACTCTATTTCTAGATGATGATACTTTTTTACATCCAATAAATTTAATTCAATTACTACGTCGTATTACACTTAAACAGTATAGAATTTATGCATCCGGTCATGTAAAACGTATCTCTTATCCAGTTCGTATCCCGTTCTTGCCTAAATATATATCACTATTAAATTATCCATTCTGTATATATCCACCATATATAATTAGTGGAACAATTATATTAAGTATGCCTGTTGTTCATTTATTACGTGTTGGATTCAACCATGTTACAAATATTCCATATGATGATATCCTATTAGGAATTATACTATTAAAATTTGGTATTAGTCCTATTCATTTAAAAAATATTTATACAGAACATAGTTTAGATAAGCAAACTCTTAAACAATTGCAATTTATCAGTATTCATGGTTACAATGATCCTTTAATGGTTCAGTCGTTATGGTCAACTTTAAATATGAATTATGCTTGTAAAATAAAACTAAAGAACTAATAAAAAGATATCTAAGGTATTTTATGTTCTTTTTTATTCGTGACACTATACAAACTGGAAGTATTTTTTACAGGACAAAGTTTTCCTTATTATTTCATTTTAGCTAGTTCCGTGATTGACAGTGACAAACGAACAAAATTTTTTAAATGTAGATTAGTTTTTAATGCACTATTTTATGGGTTTATATTCCATTCATATGTATAGCAAGCATGATATCGGTTACTACTCGGTTCTATAGGAAATCAGTAGCAGCTCGAATATCTCAGTTGTGACGTCTCAGATTGTGTACAACAGGGGGTGTGGAGAATTAATCATCTGAAGATCGCAAGTATACCGTGTTGGCAAGTGCTAACTAACACGAAAATTTGATCCACGTATTCATATTGACCACCATCGACCACCTTACATCAAAACATGGTGCACATGATATCAAATTATATAGACTAGTGGATGTATTGTAACGTAGTCTATAGACTTTGATCAAAAATTAAAATTTCAAAACTGTGACATTTTTTAATACTCATTGATTAGTGAATGAAAATATAACCAGCGTAAATGATAATTTAACCCTGAATTCACAATTTGACATACTTAGATGACCATTTTTTGAGTTTATTTTACATTAGATACACGGCCTCAAAGCAACACATTTTTGGGTGCCAAATTTTAATGTTGTTTATTATTTGATAGGAAGTGATTTTTGGATGCTTTTAGCTGATACGTCACAATAATCGTATTCTAGTAAAAGATATACTATATATATATATATATATATATATATATATATATATATATATATATATATATATAAACAAAGTGTTTCCATAAACTGTTCTTATACCGTTACGTTCTACTCAGTCTTTATCATTAAAATTTAGTTATGTGAACTATCAACTTATTGTACAAACACTTAGTTGAATTTAATCTACAAATAATAAAATTTTGAATTGGAATTAATCAATGAATTTTCATTCATTACTACTCACTAATTTTCGATGGTTTTTAGTTGAAATCAAGCAATATGAGTTCAACTATGTCATCACTTAACTGAACTCTATTTTAAATTAAAGCTAAATAAAGTTGTTCATTTTTTATTACATCAGTTAACGAATCAAAAATCAATTATATCGATCATGAATTATGTTAATCACTATATAATTTAATTTCAATCCAAATTATTTGTTATATGATAGTCTGAGTCAGAAGATTAACAAATAATTATTTTTATAGTTTTAGTAACGACTTGATCTGTACTAAACCACCATTAAAACCTGGAAGCACTAAGCAACCGTTCCGTCCTAGTATGGAACCTCTTAGCAGTGCGCTTTCACGATATCGCACATGGGATTCGAACGCGGGGTCTTCGGTCTTGCGTGCGAATGCCTAACGTCTAGAACACTGAGCTGGCATACGATGGTGTAAATGTCAAACTTTATTCACTCCATGATCTTGCGCGACCCTTCGTTTATCACCTGAGGCGGATGTGATCCATACTCGGCAGGGATTGTACTCCGCTGGTTACAGCTGCTCGATATAACTCCAAGAGTTACATCTTTAACCTAATCACTAGTGAGCGCAAGATTTTTATAAGTTTAAGGATTTGTAGAGATTGTGGTATTTTCACGCGAGACCGAAGGTCTTTAGTTCGAGTCCTGCTTACGAGATTGTGGCTGCGCACGCCTGAGGAATCCCATACTCGGACGTAACGGCCGTTCGGTGCTATCAGGTTTTCGTTGTGATCTAGCTTAAATCGATTAGTGATTTCAACTGTGAAAATACTACAGTCTCCCTAAATCCCTATGCTGATAATATATTTATTGACTAAATTATTGATAGTTCATGATTTTATTCACAGTATATATATGACCTAATGAGTTAATGAGCTTAAATTTTTCTTGTAAATATATTGTTAAAGACTCATAAATTTTTATATGCTCTACTCTAAGATGTCCGAATTTGTTTATAGATACAAAATCGAGCAATCAAGCTTCAGAGATTAGATTCGGTTTAACGAAGCCTATTTTGAAATAATGTTGATCTTGGTTTATCTAAATTTATGAGTGCAGTTATATTCATGAATTAAATTAAATTCATTTTCAGCAATTTTTACAAGAGCGCTATAGAATACTATCAAGAAAACCGCTGATGACCAGGAAGATGTTGGTGATTGTTTTGTTGTAATTTGATGCATTTTATCAGTGCTCATTCACAGTAATTTACATGCTATTAGATAGACTGTTGCTTGTTTATGTAAAATATGTCTTAAATCTTATTGATGAACTCGGAAGCACTGTGCTTGTTGCATGGTGTGATAGGTTTCAGTCATTTTCCGTATGGGATTATTTGTAGTTATTACTAGGAATTACAGAACTAAGTCAACATAATTATCCGTTACTTCATTGTTTTCATCAGCTCAATAATTTAAATCAGATGGATATAGGCTATACGTTTAAATCATGTGAAGCCTTCACAAAACCAAAGAAGATAAAAGAAAAGTTAGAATATAAAAGCATGTCAAATAAGCATTCTATTTAACAGTAATTTCATTATGCTTTTCCGTGATAATAGATTTCCGAAAGCATGATGGAAATGTAGGGAAATCGATTACGTTACATGTAGATATTTATCATACCTGAAAATTAACCTGGTATCTCCGAATAACTTTGATACAGACGCTCACATCGATTTGATTGTTTATAAACGTAAAATGAAGCAACAATCGTAGTAATTAATGCGATATACTGGTCATCAATGTACCCCATTTTTTAACTAAGTAAAATGCAAAACAATACAAGTGACATATAAATAAGCAGTCACACCCATTATTTTCTGATTAGATCTCTGGTAAAATTTACTAAAAACGCGTATGTAGACTAATGCTGGAGTCTAGTAAATTTTGAATGGATTAGAGTATATTACGTTGAGTTAATCACAACTCAGTATGAATATTTTAATCAAAGACTGAATCTAGATAGTGTATACTACTAGTAAATCGATATCGATAGCCTATTCTGTATGTTATGCTAAATTTCACGTAAAATTTTGATTAGAAAATTGATCAAGTGAAATCAGTGACGCGGAGAAGCATCATATTTCAAATGAATTTCTTTACGTACGATGTTTTGGTTTCACTTTATATAGTCAGATAATTTTATTAGATTTACTTCGGGATTTCGCTTAGCATGTAGCTGTCACAACTGCTTTGTAAGAATTGAGATATCTTAATAATGGCTAAATACATTTTAATGCTACACAATGGGTATTCGGCTTTAAAGATATATATTATATATTGCATATGAAAACTTTTATTTAAATATATAATGGTATTTGTTGGTGAGCTTTAGAACTTGATTATCTATTAACAGTTTGAACGCATTCATTCAAACAAATTGTTTAGTGAGCACTTCAAAATGCTTAGCCCATCATTTTCTACTAATTACAGTAATACACAAAATAATTGCAACGAGAAGAATGGCAATACGAGTAAACTGAGCGGTACGTATTCCTATGGTAATGAATTTGACCGATTTAGTTTTATTGAGACTAGATACAAAAATAAAATACTATCATTTAAAATATTTTGATCCATATTAAATACACAATATTTTGGATAACTTATTTCTTGTGAATAATTGCAATTTCAAGTATTTCCTTGTTCAATGAGGATCTTTAAGCGAGAAAAAACTCGTGGAAAGAATTGGATAAATTATATTATTGTCTTATGAATGCCTAAAAGATATGAGATGTCAAAAACCTTTTAGAACAAGTTCTTGCGACGATTTTGGTAAACATCAGAAATTGATCTTAGTTGAACAAGAATTGAAAACTAGGGGACAGTGGGGGGCTGTTTATTTCTAGAAAGGAACTTTACAGCAGTGCGTATTTACAATTCCACTGGAAACCGAATCGACGACATTCATGTCAATCAGGGAGCCGTTAACTTTGAAACCACTTAGATAATATCCAATGTTTTGCATATTTAACTTTAGTCAAATCACGGTATCGGATAATCATCTTTTATTACAATTGCTAGGCAACAACTTCGTACTCGAAAAAATCCTTATTAGAACAAAATAGCTGTGCACAGCTTCCTGGTTTTCGATGGTTGTTTAGCTAAGATCAGTTCTTGATGAAATCCATAAAATTCAATAGTTTTTATAAGCCCTATTTAGCAATATTATTAGTCAGTTTTATTTTCAGTCAGAACAATAAATTAAGAAATATCAATGGTTACTATCACGATAGGAACCTGACTTGTTATTCCCTCTTAATTTTTAAAACTTTATAGTTTACTCAGTATCCTCATCAGGTAATTTAACAAAACGTCTATAAATATAACAACTTACTACAACAAAACTTAATGATTAGTATGCTCGTAACGTTGTAGTGAAGGACTAGCTAGATTTCTTGATAATAATTAGTATTGATTTATTAGTGTTTAGGTTTTAGCTATACCTACTTATAAATTGTAGTGAAACCGATTTACCATAAATAGTCATTCCCATTAAACCGTGTGCAACACATTGGTTGTAAATATGATTGACAATTTCTAAATTTCTAGGTAATACGGCAACTCATAGAGTAGTTCGTTTATTTTATATATATATATATATTACTTTTGAACCAACAGAGTAGAAATTATATAATGAAAATGAATATAAGATGGGTAGCTAGAAGACATGCGAAAAATATGAAATGGATTTTGTGGTGGTATCCATACCAATCTAAGAATTATAACTTCAGTAATTATGTGATCGGATATTTTCATGAAAATACAAAGGATTGACATCACTTCTCTTGAAAGTTTAACATATAAATTATTATGTTGCTTTTAATATGTCTTACTGTCTTTCTTACTTAAATAACAAATTAACTCTATCGTGATTGAATATCTTGTAAGATTTTGAGTATTTATGTTATAGATTAGGTTTAACAAGAATACCTATCGAACAACGATTATTTTAAGAGTGAATTTTCCAGAATTCTGAATTGCAAAATAAGACATTCAAAGTAAAAG